TGAAGTCATTCTGTTTCGCTCCATTCTCTCTACATGTCCGAACCACCTCAACAACCCTTCCTCAGCCCTCTGGACAACAGTTTTGGTAATCCCGCACCTCCTCCTAACTTCCAACTACGAATTCTCTGCATTATATTCACACCACACATTGCCCTCAGACATGACATCTCCACTGCCTCCAGCCTTCTCCTCGCTGCAACATTCATCACCCATGCTTCATACCCATATAAGAGTGTTGGTTAAAACCATACTCTCATACATTCCCCTCTTTGCCTCCAAGACAAAGTTCTTGTCTCCACAGACTCCTAAGTGCACCACTCACCCTTTTCCCCTCATCAATTCTATGATTCACCTCATCCTTCATAGACCCATCCGCTGACACGTCCACTCCCAAATATCTGAATACATTCACCTCCTCCATACTCTCTCCCTTCCAATCTGATATCCAATCTTTCGTCACCTAATATTTTTGTTATCCTCATAACCTTACTCTTTCCTGTATTCACTTTTAATTTTCTTCTTTTGCACACCCTACCAAATTCATCCACCAATCTCTGCAACTTCTCTTCAGAATCTCCCAAGAGCACAGTGTCATCAGCAAAGAGCAACTGTGACAACTCCCACTTTATGTGTGATTCTTTATCTTTTAACTCCACGCCTCTTGTCAAGACCCTCGCATTTACTTTCTCTTACAACCCCATCTATAAATATATTAAACACCACGGTGACATCACACATCCTTGTCTAAGGCCTACTTTTACTGGGAAATAATTTCCCTCTTTCGTATGTACCTAACTTGAGCCTCACTATCCTCGTAAAAACTCTTCACTGCTTTCAGTAACCTACCTCCTACACCATACACCTGCAACATCTGCCACATTGCCCCCTATCCACCCTGTCATACGCCTTTTCCAAATCCATAATGCCACAAAGACCTCTTTAGCCTTATCTAAATACTGTTCACTTATATGTTTCACTGTAAACACCTGGTCCACACACCTCCTACCTTTCCTAAAGCCTCCTTGTTCATCTGCTATCCTATTCTCCGTCTTACTTTTAATTCTTTCAATAATAAACTCTACCATACACTTACCAGGTATACTCAACAGACTTATCCCTCTATAATTTTTTCATCTCTTTTATCCCCTTTGCCTTTATACAAAGGAACTATGCATGTTCTCTGCCAATCCCTAGGTACCTTACCCTCTTCCATACATTTATTAAATAATTGCACCAACCACTCCAAACTATATCCCCACCTGCTTTTAACATTTCTATCTTTATCCCATCAATCCCGGCTGCCTTACCCCCTTTCATTTTACCTACTTCCCCCACACTCACAATTGGCTCTTCCTCACTCCTACAAGATGTTATTCCTCCTTGCCCTATACACGAAATCACAGCTTCCCTATCTTCATCAACATTTAACAATTCCTCAAAATATTCCCTCCAGCTTCCCAATACCTCTAACTCTCCATTTAATAACTCTCCTCTCCTATTTTTAACTGACAAATCCATTTGTTCTGTAGGCTTCCTTAACTTGTTAATCTCACTCCAAAACTTTTTCTTATTTTCAACAAAATTTGTTGATAACATCTCACCCACTCTCATTTGCTCTCTTTTTACATTGCTTCACCACTCTCTTAACCTCTCTCTTTTTCTCCATATACTCTTCCCTCCTTGCATCACTTCTACTTTGTAAAAACTTCTCATATGCTAACTTTTTCTCCCTTACTACTCTCTTTACATCATCATTCCACCAATCGCTCCTCTTCCCTCCCACACCCACTTTCCTGTAACCACAAACTTCTGCTGAACACTCTAACACTACATTTTTAAACCTACCCCATACCTCTTCGACCCCATTGCCTATGCTCTCATTAGCCCATCTATCCTCCAATAGCTGTTTATATCTTTCCCTAACTGCCTCCTCTTTTAGTTATAAACCTTCACCTCTCTCTTCCCTGATGCTTCTATTCTCCTTGTATCCCATCTACCTTTTACTCTCAGTGTAGCTACAACTAGAAAGTGATCTGATATATCTGTGGCCCCTCTATAAACATGTACATCCTGAAGTCTACTCAACAGTCTTTTATCTACCAATACATAATCCAACAAACTACTGTCATTTCGCCCTACATCATATCTTGTATACTTATTTATCCTCTTTTTCTTAAAATATGTATTACCATATAACTAAACCCCTTTCTATACAAAGTTCAATCAAAGGGCTTCCCATTATCATTTACACCTGGCACCCCAAACTTACCTACCACACCCTCTCTAAAAGTTTCTCCTACTTTAGCATTCAGGTCCCCTACCACAATTACTCTCTCACTTGGTTCAAAGGCTCCTATACATTCACTTAAACATCTCCCAAAATCTCTCTCTCTCCTCTGCATTCCTCTCTTCTCCAGATGCATACACGCTTATTATGACCCACTTCTCGCATCCAACCTTTAATTTAATCCACATAATTCTTGCATTTACACATTCATATTCTCTTTTCTCCTTCCATAACTGATCATTCAACATTACTGCTACCCCTTCCTTTGCTCTAACTCTCTCAGATACTCCAGATTTAATCCCATTTATTTCCCCCACCGAAACTCCCCTACCCCCTTCAGCTTGTTTCGCTTAGGGCCAGGACATCCAACTTCTTTTCATTCAAACATCAGCAATCATCTGTTTCTTGTCATCGCACTACATCCACGCACATTCAAGCATCCCAGTTTTATAAAGTTTTTCTTCTTTTTTTTTGTAAATGTCTACAGGAGAAGGGGTTACTAGCCCATTGCTCCCGGCATTTTAGTCGCCTCATACGACACGCATGGCTTACGGAGGAAAGATTCTTTTCCACTTCCCCATGGACAATAGAAGAAATAAAGAAGAACAAGAGCTATGTAGAAAAAGGAGAAAACCTAGATGTATGTATATATATATGCATGTGCATGTCTGTGAAGTGTGACCAAAGTGTAAGTTGGAGTAGCAAGATATCCCTGTTATCTAGCCTGTTTATGAGACAGAAAAAGACACCAGCAATCCTACCATCATGCAAAACAGTTACAGGTTTCTGTTTCACAGTCATCTGGCAGGACGGTAGTACTTCCCTGGGTGGTTGCTGTCTACCAACCTACTACTATATATACTATATATACTATGTATACTATGCTACTATATATATATATATACGTCACGCGAGCAGCATACGCAGTGGTTCAGTAGTGGCCTTGATGTGGAAGCCACTACAAGCGTGTCTCAGTGGGTTCTGTAAGATCATTGACTGTTGCGAGAGAAAGTTTATACCTGGTCGTGCGTGTGTCGCCCTCCAGCGACTCCTGATCCCCTTGCTCAGCGTCTATAGTTAAGTCCTTGAAATAGAGCCATAAATAATATCCTTGGTTGTATATACCAACGTCAGTGTATATATTTTGTTTTTTACTTAGAATATTTACACAAGCGCAGTTTTATTAAAAATATATCGTTTCAATATATTTTAAAGATTGTAAGATAGAGTCATGAAAATTACCATAGCATTCTAGCTCTTAATTATGTTCCAAAGTTAATTTCTTAAAATAATCTTGCTAGAATTTACGTAATATAAAATAAATTAATTCTTCTTAATCCATTTCAGTTCAGCCTCGACTTACCATTAAATGATCGACACTATGCCTAGCCCTTCTAGAGTAGGGTAGGTGCCAGAGCCAGAGCTTGCAGCTCAGAAGACTGCCATTCCCAATAACCCTCTTGGGGCGGGGATGGCAGACCAGAGAGGCCTAGCTCCCTATGAGCCCCTTGAGGGCGGGGAATGTGGCTAGGCCTAGGGACAGTTGGTCCGTAAGTTGAGGGGGTACTTGTGCCTCCTCCCATGGGAGACTTAGGTCTCAGACACTCCCTAGCCAGGGAGCCAAGGCCGGGCCACCACGTGGCAAGGCCCAGGCCGGGCCACCACGTGACAAGGCCCAGGCTGGGCCACCACGTGGGAAGGCCCAGGTCGGGCCACCACGTGGCAAGGCCCAGGCCGGGCCACCACGTGGCAAGACCCAGGCCGGGCCACCACGTGGCAAGGCCCAGGCCGGGCCACCACGTGGCAAGGCCCAGGCCGGGCCACCACGTGGCAAGACCCAGGCCGGGCCACCACGTGGCAAGACCCAGGCCGGGCCACCACGTGGCAAGACCCAGGCCGGGCCACCACGTGGCAAGGCCCAGGCTGGGCCACCACGTGGCAAGACCCAGGCTGGGAGAATATCGGCGAATCTTTGATAATAATAATAATTACCATTAATGTATCTATAAATTTTTTATGGTATAACTTAATTTTATTTTACCAAAGACTACGTATTCTCGTCTTTGCAAAACAATGGTTGGTGAATAGGCCTAGTCAGCAGGTTCAAAGTATGAGTCTCGACAGATGTGCGTCTAGAACTTACTGTAATTTATATTTTAGTGAGTAAGAATATCCTTCATGTACAGGTGAATGTTTGTCTTAATGACTCGCTTGCAATCAATAGGCTTAAAGCCTAAAAAAAAAAAATACTCAGTGGAGTAGTTGGGGATTTAAATTAGCTTGTCCAGCATCTTAGCCACTACACGCTCTAACCCACACCACTACACCTGCCTGAGCCACACCACCACACTTTCGTAAGCCACACCACCACACTTTCCTAAGCCACACCATTACACCTTCCTAAGCCACACCTTCCTAAGCCACACCTTCCTAAGCCACACCACCACACTTTCCTAAGCCACACCATTACACCTTCCTAAGCCACACCTTCCTAAGCCACACCTTCCTAAGCAACACCACCACACTTTCCTAAGCCACACCTCTATGGTACCCTCCCCTCCACTGCCATATCTCACATCTTCGTGTGTTATACATACTTTACTGTGTTAACTCACCGTTATCCAAGGCCACAGTGACCTAATTTTCTTTCCCTTGCAAGGCTTCCTGTGGCAACTGCGTATAAATATCACAGCTCCTCTGTGTGACCCTCAGT